GCTTGCCTGGGCATGGGCGCTAACATGGTCGAGTACGGTATATTCATTTACTGATTCGGTAAAATAAAATGTTCCAAACTTAATTCAGAAAAGTATACTGAAACAAATTTTTTTCTAAAACTTCATTTGTGTTGTCATAGTAATCCTTGAATAACAGAGGGTTGCGATCATGCTGCCATTGGGTGTTACATTCAGTGGATTGCATCTACGTGATCTGAATTAATTAGTTCTTTGTCACGTTTTGTATCATTTCATCTATTGATCAGTGCAAATGGATGTGAAAGTAAATACGACAGGCAAATTGTGTAGTTTAATACTGATTGCATTTGTTCCTCATTCTTTTGTGTAAGATGATGCAATTGTCCATTTTCTGAAAAAGCAATTTATTCCACATCTGCCACTCAGACAATACATTGACACAAGTGCATTAGAGGGTCGTCGTGTTCCTAATAAGTCTACTGACATGTATGATGGTTTGTTTCTTAGCAACCAGATCCCGATGATGACTACAGTGAAGTGATGTCAGATCCAGCGTTTTTACAAAGTGTTTTAGAAAATCTTCCCGGTGTGGATCCTTCTAGTGAAGCTATTAGAAATGCCATGGGTACTTTAACGCAACAACAGAAATCTGAAGATAAGGAAAAGAAAAAAGAAGACAAAGATAAGAAATAACCATCAACTGGCACATTAATTTACCAAAGTATCAATTTAGTGCAGTTGGAATCAAAAATAAATATTAGAACACTTGTTTGATACAATATAGTGCATTCATAATAGTGATGTAAAAATGCTTTAATGAAGATAGTTGAATAAATAGTGATGTGGCTTTGTAATGAAATGTGTCTTTATGTCAATAAATTTCTCGACAAATCAATGTCTGTGGCCGGTGTCTAATGTGTGACTCTACCTGCTTTCAAATGTATGGTTTCTGATATGTACCTGTTTTCAAATGTATGGTTTCTGATGTACCTGTTTTCAAATGTATGGTTTCTGATGTGTATCTGGTTTCAAATGTGTGGTTTCTGATATGTACCGGTAC